TCTGAGGACGAATACGAGTGTGAGTAATAATGGAAAACGGTCGTATCACATTCTAAGTCATATCAGCGTGTTAATAATAGCTGGAAATGCCTACAAGCCTACCTTTCTAGCAGCCATATACCACTATGAAAGAAATCCAATCACTAAATGACTTACAGAAAGAAGAATATACCGCTCTAATGCACAGTCATAAGTATGCGCCCAATCAACAATAGTGAAATGAGATGAGGAATATATTTTAAACAAAAGAATAATGAAATTTGATTTATAAGACTTCGCAAATAATTGATTTTTTTTGTTGAATTACATGAAATGCCCTCGATGTGTTGATGAATTCAATCAACATACGGTCGCATGATTGTTTTTGTATAGCAGACTTTCACCTATAAGCGATACTCCTTTTTTTCTGTTTTTCTTTGCTATACTAACTTGCAACAAGCGCATTTAAACAGATTGTGGGCGTGGCAGAAGATGTTGGTTGGTGGCTGTTGATGTGTGGGGTTGAAACGAGAGTGAGTCCATACTGCAGCATTACTCACACTCATACACATTTTCTTTGATCCTAATATTTTATCTTTTAGATATTCGCACTAAATATGAAGAAATTTGAAAGCTTAAATATAATTACATCGTTTGTTTTGTTCTATGAATGATTTCTAGAATTGACTACTTGTTCTTATTGATTGCTTTATAAATTTGGGAGAAAAGAATGAATGTTAACTTATAAAGTCAAACACGATCTCTTTTTTTGTTGAAGAAGAAGATTTACAACTCATATTTTATCTCTTACCCATAGCAGTGCCTATTAGTTATGTAAAGTATATTTAATTTTGATGCATCTTCTCCAGATGTTTTATTGAAATGAACAAGATAGCTTTAACGATAAAACATGAATATGAGTTTGGCTGATGTTAAGGAATAGAAACACAACTACGAAGTTTTGAGATTGTTTGTCGAAAGCTTTTATATTGGTGATCGATTCAATAAATATTTCCAGTTCACAATTAAATATTTTTCCATAATTTTCAAAGTCTCTTGGCTTGAGGTATCAGGGTGTGGGTGTGGGTGGATGTGGGGGTGGGGTGTGGGTGTGGGTGGGTGTGGGTGTGGGGTGTGGTGTCGGTGTGGGTGGGTGCGGGTGTGACTTTGGTTAAAACCAAAACTGGAACCCACACCCATCCACAGCCGCAGCCACACCCTCTTTTTATATTAAATGGAAAATTTAATAAGTTTGAAAATCATTTGCTCATATTCTCAGGCACTGTGAAGGTCTCCATTTCAAACAAAACGTATACTATATAATCCATCTTTTTTAAATCTACGTAAATTTCACCAGCCAATTGAGAAAAAACTGAATCTGAAAGAAAATTAGTGGTTTGAGAGAAAAACAGCGCATTTACTTTTCGAGTTCTATTGAATGATGCAAAATTCTATGAAAAAAAAAAACCGAAATTCAACGTAAGTTAGCCATTTTCTGCTTGCTCTTTCTACTATGTTCTCATTTGATCTATTACTGTTTGTAATTCTTCGTGACTCAATCCAGTCAAATAAACTATAATGTTACTTATTGAGATAATTAGAACGACAAATTACAAACAAAAGGAGGGTCAAATCATTTTTTAGCAATTACACACTACCTAATTGTATATGTTTTACTGCTTGATAAAATAATTTTTTTTTGTAAAAACCTCCATGTCGCGTACTTCGATATGTCTACTTTGATATCAACTCGATTTATTACTGTCAATCCGAGAAAGTCACTATTGATTATTGATTTATATGGTTCATGAATTAGATCCTGCACGGAATAAAATGCACAAAATATGATCGATAATGACGCGCAAATTACTGAATTCTAATAGTTGTCAGTTATACACAATGATTGTTAATGTTCTTCTTTATGATTTATATTTAACATTAAGTAAAGAAACGAGGAATTACTCTCCCTGTCATGTATTGAAGTATAGTCTCTCTACTAGGTAAATGAGCTGCTTCGACAGGATGTCGACATAATGGACAAGTATTTCGTGCTCTTAATGCACTTAACATGCAATCAAAATGAAAAGTATGTTTGGCTTCACAAGGCCATTGAGCGAAATGTTGACCAGTACGAAATTCTTCATAGCAAAGACTGCACTCTATATTAGGCTGATTAATATTGACTAATTGATGATCTTCTAAACGAAATTGTGCAATAAAACGAGGTGATGCCGATACTATACGGTGCCACATTCGATTGAAGTCATAACCATAGGTACGATATTGATATTCAGCCTCTTCTTCTATAAGAGCCTTGAGATGACGTTGATACTCCTCTTGCTGAGCATGTAGAATTTCTTGCTGTTGAAGAATCTGTTTTTGTTCCAAGCTGGAATGAAAAAAGAAGGCATGTCGGTCTTTTTTTTCTATAGAAATAGCTAAAAAAATAGAATATACCGGTGTCGATATAGATCATTGATATGCATCAATCGCTGATGAAGCCATTCACTAGTATTGGAATCTCTAAGGTACGAATCATTTGGAAAATAGATATATTTCGAACGTGAATCATTTGCCACTACAATATGATAATGATGAACTGATTCGATAGTATCAAGGGAAATAACTTCGAATGGTGAGCGTTTATCGAATTGACGTAGAATTTCTGGATTTTTTTCATTAAAATTGATCATTAATATAATGAGATATTTATCTTGTATAAGAAATAGTCGATCAAAATGTTTATTTTCGACGATTGTATTTAATAAAAGGTTATCTAATATTGAGATCGAATTAATATTCGCTTTTTCAAGTTCATTTTGTACAGAATGATGAATAGTAAATGTCGGTGGATGAATTCTATTGAGTAGATAAATCCCTAGAAAGAAGAAAATTTTCATCAATGGCCGAACAAGCAAGAGACAAACGAGAATATAGGTCATGTAAAGATGATAAGGAGACGAGGCATCGAATACTATAATGTGATTGTCCAATTTATAGGATTTATTCGAATTCCATAGGTAGACAGTTTCATCTTTTGATCGATAGAGATATCCGAGTAAAATACCGCATTTAAGGATAACTTTTATATTGAATAATGTTGGATTTTGATTATAGATTTGTTCAATCGCTTGAATATACGTTGTTTTTTCATTCCATTGAAGATACTGCATGGGCGATATATCGAGTTGTCGAACAATACATCGTAATGTATGAATATTGAACGCTTGAAAATTATAAGAAAGACGTCGATGAAAATAAGATTGTTTATTTGATGGCATTTTAATATAGAGTTTATTATAATTATGATCAATGACTGATTCTCTTACATGATTGAATGTATACAATAACTTTTCATATGAATGTTGACCATTGAATACTCGAAATGTCTTTGTCATATCCTGATCAATCATATCTTCATCAAGTTCTATTTGAAGATATTCATAATCAAATGAAAACCAACGAGAAAAAAAAGGTCGTGTATTATATCGAAATTCAGTATATGTTTTCAATTCAGTAGCAAATTGATCAAGATTAATATGAAATGGACCCATCCATGCATTGTAGATTCGTTTATGACATTGAAACAATATTAATCCGAAAAAGCAAATGTGTAAATAGGAAAATATATTTCTAACATTTCGAAGTCGTTTATATTGTGTATCATCAGTGCGTTGTCTATGAATACGTATAAGTAATGACAACAGTAACGATGATTCAGTATCAACATCAGCGGATGTTTTCTGCTGATGAAAGGGTAACATCAGATTTTTCTCTAAAAGTAGATCATGAAAAAAAAACATAAATTCATGGCTGTCGTAATATAAACAGAATTCTATCTCTACAATTTTTCTTATTACGACCCTGCTCTGAAACAAAGATGACATGTGATGAAAACTGAGTAATGTTGCCGAACAGAAAAGAATCATATTTTTCTTATGACATAATTCAATCGACGACATCGAAAATCCTTGTATAAAATGAAGCAAATTTCATTTGTTTGCGCTGCTTGTTGTCAAATGAAAAGAAAGAAAGAAAGAAAGAAAACGTTGTCAATGTGAAAAAAACAACATTCAACGTTTTTCTTTACTTCCCTATTCAATGATTCAGCATGACGTCAGCAGTGACACAACCAAGATTTTTAGACCAATTGGCAAACTTCTCTTATGTTGGAAAAAAAATGATGCACAAAATGGACAAGATATTTATTGATAGGCCAAAAACGTTTTAGTCCTACGAAGTAGTGGTAACGCAAAAAGAAACACAAAAAGAAACGAAATGAGGTTCCCTTAATCAAATATGCAACAAACTCAGGTCTTAAGCCTGAGTTATGTGTGTTTTAGCCTGTTTTTTTTATTTCTGTTATAACATTTATATTTGAAATTCAAACATCAAAATCTCCTACGAACTAAGTCATTTCACATATATGTCATTGAATTTTTTCTTTCTCTTGTATGCACCACTTTCTATACAGATATCTACATATATTTATATATATGTCTGTGTGTGTTCTTGTTTCTCTTCTCTGTAATCTATCCTTCTTTTTTTAATGATTGTCGATCCAACACTCAGAAGTGCTTACATGATAAAAGAAAGAAATAGAGATGTTTAAGCGAAAAGCTACATCATTAAATCAAGGTATTATTTTGTATGCCACCAATATAATATGCTGAGTATCGATTCAAGCTCGTACGAACATTGAGAAGATAAATAAAGTAAATAGAGAGAAATAATGATAAGTAGCTGCCATTGTATACGAGTCGAGCGAGCAACTATATCAGAAAGAATGACAAGCAAAAGAAAAGAAACAAGATAAAGAAAAAACAAAGGCATAAACAAAGAAAAAAGAACATTGAATAAAGCATCATATTTTTGGCCTGTTTCTATAGGTATGAAGTGTGGATGAGTTTTATTCTTCTCTTCTTCCACACCCACTTCCTTTTTAATACTACTCACATGAATCCTGATTGTTTCTTGAAGAGTTAAGCAGTGAATTTAGAGTAAAACTCTGAATGGTTATGATTTTACTGATTTTTCGGGACTTTTAATGCTCTCTCAAAAAAAGGATACCAAAAATAAAATCAAAGGATTATTCGTCGAAGTTACAAGAGATAAGACCTTTTCTTAACTCTGCAAATCAGGACAGTCAGGGTTAGCTGCGGTATTTAATCTAGAATGTCACAATTTGTTGAATTTCTACGAATATCATAGTGAATTCGTCGGAGTTCATTGAGATGCATTTGAATTTATTAAAGTGCACTAGAATTCAGGCCTCTCGATTTCTTTTAATATATTTCACGACTATATCTGAAGAAGTAAGAGAAAATAGCATTACTTTTTCAATGTATTTTCTATCGATGGACTTGGAACTTCTGATATTTTTACGTGATCTTCTCCAAAACTAAGGCTCACTGAATATTCTTGCATACTCCGATGCGATTCAGTGCATTTCTTCATAATTTCTATGAATTCTGATGAAGCTTGTGACAGAATTGGAACCGGACAGGTTTTTTCTGTCCGGTCCGGTCTGGCCGGTTAAAAAATCTGTCCAGTCCGGTCCGGCCAGCAACTGGCCGGACGAATTTTACAGCCAAACTGGCAAAAATCCGGCGAAAATAACCGACCATAAAAGTATCTGTTCACATAAAATGTTGGCGAAGGGGGAAGTAAATATTCACATGCAGAAATCCGAACTAGGGGTGATCAATTTACATTTACGAAAAATTTATAAATCCAAAAATAAATTTTAAGAAATTGAAATTTAAAATAAATTTTAAAAAGTTTTATTTATTTTGAATTTAAATTGAATTTACATAAATTTAAATTTTGTAAAATTATTTAAATTTATGTAAATCCAATTTAAAATTATAATAAATTAACAGCAGGTCGCCACTCCTAATCCGAACTCGAAATGAAAATTGGAACTGAAACTCTCCCTTCATATTTTATAGCAAGGTGCGTCAACTTGCCGAGCCCAACATCGATATAAATTAGCTATTCAAATCAAATTTGTTTTTCATCTTAATTTCAAAAAAGAAAAAAAAGCAAGTTTATAACAAATCTAACGCAAAAACGTAAATATTTATTTTTCTTGATTCAGGCAGCTGTCTAAATAGAAGAAGAGAATAAATTATTTGATCAAGATTAAATTGAGTAATACAAGAGAAAGAAATCGATAAAGACATAAAGAGAACAATCAATCGTTTATAGTCAAGTTGAAGATAAGATATCTATTGAGTTATATCATAAAAAAGCCGTTTTCAGTAGAGACAATTCTTGGGTGAAAACAACAATTTTGTAATGATGAACCGGCAAAAATCCGGTCCTGTCCGGCCCGGTTTAACTTCTTGTCCGGTCCGGTCCGGCCGGATCGGAACCGGATTGCCGGACCGGTTCCAACTCTGTCTTGTGATCGTTGATGTTCTTTGAATGAAACTTGTAGCTCATTATTTTGAAAATTAATGTGAAGTAACTTAAACGACCATGAAGTACAATTATTCAAAAACTAATCGATGTTTTTCATTGTTTAAAATTCTATCGAATGTGTATGATGTTTTACCAGAAAAAAACTGCAACAAGAAAGAAATGGAGCTATTTAACGATGAAAGACATAATCGACAATATCATAATAAGCCTTACTAGTGATAGTATCTATAAATTACTTGGAGTCTATAAGGCATCAGATAAAACCTGTATTTTTTACGAGAAAATTTTATGCAACGACAACTTTGTCTTGATTCATCCCCTTTCCTCAAGATTGCAGAAATTAGACAACTAAAAATATTGAAACTCAAACTACTTTCTATGCTTGCACAATTATATGGTAGATTTGTATTTGGAAATATTTTACCATGCATCAGTAATGGAATGAAAAAGTCAACGACGAAAGTGTGCTGATGTTCGATAAACTGATCAATGTTATGATAGATACAGGCCTACGACTGTTGATGATAGCAAATGCTATCATATTTCTATTACCCCATATTTATGATTCAGTGATTCACATCAGTTTTCTATGTGTGGAGTACTGTTGTTTAACTATGAAAAATCGAAACGAAAAAATTCGTTAAAATAGATTAGGAATGAAGGATGTGGATATTGTTTCTTTGTTCAACAAAACACTCACATCCCAAAACGGCTCTTCATAGTCGCATCTCATGATTTTCAATGGATTTGAACTCTCAACATTAAAAATTAGTTATAAGCATTTGGTTTAAGCTTAAGTGATGATACTAGATTGATGATTTTGACTCTGGTCATAAAGTTTCAAAAATTGAATCATTCAAATTTTTCTTAGAATTGATAAATGAAATTTTCACAAAGCACTCGACTTAGTGTGTCGTAAGGACCGGTATGATCAGAGAGCAGAAAATACAATAAAAAAAGAACAATTTTTGTAAAACACTAATTGATCGATTTACCTTTCTATAAAAACCACCTTGTGCAATTGAGTTTCTCTGAACAAGTAACTTGCATGTTATTGAATTATTCTACAAATAAACCTTACTCATATTTTATTCATTGCATCATCAAAATTGTCAACGAGTTGTGCAATATTTGCGGCACGTATAAGAATGGTAAACAATCACATTACCTATTCTCTTCTCTTACATGTATGTGTCAGAATTCATAACCAACGAATGTATATGATTCAGCATGGTCGTTCTCGCCACATCGTCGGATTTTTCCTTTTGCATGCGTCTTTTTGCACAGATGAGTAATAGTAGTGGATAAAATGTTCTCTCAATTTTTTAGAACTAAAATGTTGTATTAATATTATAGACAAATATGGAATTACATAAAAAAACAGCCAGGTATTGTCATTTTTATTGTTTGAATAGTCATATCCATAGTAGAAGTCGATAGGAGTCTAATAGAACATTTTTAAACAATAAAAATCTCAGAATTTTCATGTCAGACTTTTGGCATTGTTGTTCACTGTTACACAGAATCAGTACGGCCTATTCGTTTCATAATCCGTATCATAATCTAGGAGAAAAGAAAGTAGCAAAGGAGAAAAGGCTTTTTTTTGCATCCTACTTTCATAGTGGTCAGATGTCGCAAGCAGACTACATGCTTTTCTTCCTATCTTATCAAAACCATGTTAAAATCAGCGATTATATAACGATTTATTGCTAAAAGTGACACGATTTCGATGATCTGGATTTGCATCAAATAATCATTTGTGCTGACATGGTGTCGTGTACAACCTGGTAAATTTATTTCAAGGATTAGACGTACTGTAGATTCCAATCATCATATTATCTCTTTATGATATTCTTACTTTCTCTCTTTCTCCCCCATATAAGTGCACATTCTTCGTATAAATACATTCTCGAGATCAGACCAATTTCAGTACACTAATTTACGAAAGAACATATAGAGTAAATGAAAAACGGGCTATAGAGCTATCTTTTTGTTGAAAAATAAACTGTCTGAGTAGATTCACTTGAATATTATTCTTAAATCTTTTTGTATATGAAATATTAATGTTCCAATCTGTGAGAGTAGCGTTTCGTTTTCTCTTAAGCAAGTTGAGAATTAAACATACAAGGACGATATAAGGTCTAGTTTTGTTATGCAGAACATTGTTTTTCTTAAGTGTTGATATACTCATGAAAATTTGACATAGACACACACAAGATTATATTTTGTCACGACGAAATGATGATTTCAATGAACTATACGAATTCTTTAAAGGACCAAAGATTTTATTGATCTTCAAGTTACCTCTATTTCTAATCGGAATTGTACTTTATATTGTTTATAACATTGGCAAATTTCTTATTGTACAATTGCCTTGTTGGTGTTATGAAATTATTATACTTTTTTCTTCGCTTGTCGAGAATACGTTTTATTATATAAAACTAGGCTACAAACAATTTATAAGATTCGTTCAATATTTAAGTATAGAGTTTTACAACAAAATACTCGAGCCTATAGGAATTTTGGTTAACAGTCGTATACGTCCAATAATCTATAATGGAATTCAATTCATCGTAAATAAGATAGTGTGGTTCGGTTTTCAGTTCTACCAACGTATTATTCTACCACCAGTAGTGGTTTTTTATAAATGTATTATCGTACCCACTGCAAGGTTGTTCAAAGACATTTGTACTGACTTGTACAATATTGTCTCTTTATCATTGACCATTCTTCGAGAAACATCGATTTGGATCTGGGAATATATTATCAAAACATTATGTGTGTTTATTTATTATCATATACTGTTGTCTTTTATCCATGCTATTAAGAAAATCTATTCATTCATCTACATTCAAATATTAACACCAGTATATAGACTGCTAGTGTACATCTTGTCAATTTTTTGCCACATATTACTTCAATCGATTCTCTATGCTATTATCTGTTTTGTATGTGCTAGTGATCAGGCTTATCGTGCATGTAAAGTTATACATCACTACGTCCTCAAGCCTTTCTT